AAAACTTTCACCAAATAAAAAGGTACAAAACTATAAAATAATTCATGCCCTAAAGAACTATTTTACATATTCATAAAATGACACATGTAAATATTTTTAATGCTTTTATCAGATTTTTTTTCATTTGGAGCTTCAGAACTTTAATAATTGCCATAACCTCTTCTGGATCCATGAGTCAATCTGTATTTTAAATCTTGTTTCAAGGGCTGAAGAGTTTTCAGATAGTTTTTTTAAATTTTATTTAAAGAGTTAAAGAGTTTTCAGATAGTTTATATGATTCCATTTTTAATTAAAATATCTGCTTATATACATCAAATGATATATACCAGTGGTTCTAAACCTTTTGACTAATGCGTACCATCTAAACAAAAATTAAAAACCTTTAGTACCACCACTGAAAAGTACTACTACCCCCACCACCACTCTTGAACAATGCTCAGATCACTAAATTTACAGTGTTAGAGAAAAAACTCAATCAGAATGTTGTGGTTTTAATTTTTGAATTTAATAGTTAAAAATATTTTGCTTACCACTTATTTTTCTCTTGCCTACCACTGGCTGAGAACCCGATATACACCTTGCTGCAATAAACATGACAAACTCACAAATTTTAAACAAATGTATTTATACTTTTGTAACATTTTTATAAATTTTATTTCATTATCATGCACTGCACATATCTTTTATCCTGCTTGCTCAGTGCATATAATAACGAAAAATTTAATTAACTTTCCAAATATATCCAAAAACTGGAAATGTATATAAAGCTAAAATCATAATAGCAGTTAGTTTTTTGTGTAAAAAAATCAATGTATATTGATTTCTCAAATCATTAAGACCACCCTTGTAATATAAAATTCTATATGGAATGTAAAGCAGCTGAAATCCATTATGGCATAGATTCTACAAAGCCTTTGCATGTGTGTGGAGAAAAATTATACCAGACTTGCAAGGAAAAGACAAACAGTTCCAATAAATTATGTTCAGATTTTTAAAGTTAAATAAATACTTTCATATTGTTGATAATGCGAAATTAGTTCCCTGCGATTAAAATGGGAAATATTTCTCCCATTTATGAATAACTTCAGAAAAATTTATCAATTTGGCGTACTCCATGAAAATTTCAGTACCATCAATAAATTATGCCTTATAATGGTCATCATTCAGCTTAAATGTGCATCAAAGGTAAACCAATATGTTTCAGATACAAAATCTGAATGCTTTTCCCAGCTAGTGGATACTCATATTCAATGAGCATGTACTATTTACTAATATGCAATGACAATGAGCATAAGTTCTAAAAATTCAAATTTATCTCTGCCATCAAGATTTGTGTGAGAATTTTTGGCTCTAGTGTAGAATTGGGTGTCCCCTTTGATTAGCAATAATTTTTTTTTTTTTTTTTAAGAAATAGATGAGTGTACTGAACAATTTAAGGCGTGCGCAATGCCTAGTTTTGCAATCTGTGATTTTTCTTTAATGAAAACAGATCGATGTGTACATGTGGATAGAGTTGCGCAATTCTTGACTTTTTATTTTGTTTTTGTGTAGCTACCACTCGAAATGTGCCTGCGTGGCATAAAAAAAAAAGGGCACCCATTGAAATTTTACCGAATTTTATTTTGTGTAAAATCCCGAAAAGCTGTGTGTTTGTGATATGGCAAAGTCGAGGGCTATCTCTAAGAGGAGGGATGCCTTTGTGGAGGACTTTCTAAGGGAAACTGGCTTGTATACAGGTTACACATGGGGAAAACCACGAAAACTCCCATGCAGCCAGCCCATTCGTGGGATTCGAACCTCGGACTGAATACCAGTGTTCAGGGACTTTACCGCTCGGCCGCTGGTGGGCTTCCCGAAAAGCATCAAGAATTCTTTGATAATTGTTTTACACCATGAAGTCTAACTGACTTGACAAAGGTTTTATAGCAACTGAAAGAGTTCGAGAGATTCAAATAGGAAGATGCTATCTGGAATCTCCTAGGGCAGCAGTTCTCAACCTTTTGACTAATGCATACCATCTAAACAAAAATTGAACACCTTTAATACCACCACCACTCTTGAACAAAAATCAGATTGCATAAATTTACGAGTGTTAGAGAAAAAAACTCAATCAGGATGTTGGAGTTTTAATTTTTGAATTTAATATTTAAAAATACTTTGCTTCTTCGCATACCACCAGTTGAGAACCTTTGTCTTAGGGTATTTTCAAAGTGTCAATGAGAAAAATTTTATTTTTGAACCGATGGCAAAGTATACAGATGCTGATGGAAAGATTATAAGCATATATATATATACTCATATGCAATGAGCACAAGTTCTAAAAATCCAAATTTACCCCTGCCACCAAGAAATGTGCGAGAATTTTTATCTCACGTTAGAAATCCCGAAAATCATCGCAAATTCTTTGACAACTGTTTTACATCATGAAGTCTAACTGACCTGACAAAGGTGCCAAATCAACTGAAAGAGTTCAACAGAATCTAATAAGAAAATGCTATCTGGAATCTCCTAGGGTAATTTCAAAGTGTCAAAGAGAAAAGTTTGATTTTTGAAGCAATGTCAAAGTATACATATGCTGCTGAAAAGATTATACCATAGTAATTATTGCATCCATTTATTCATCCAAATTAAACTCTAATGTTTTTACTAAGTACAAAAGAAAAGAACTGATATCCTTCAGCCACATCTTATAAAGACGTATAATGAAGGAATGGAAGGATTAGAGTTACCAGATCGACTTTTTAGACTCAGTTTTGGAGTCAAAAATGGTACTGGAATTAATTCAATGATGTGCTGGACGTGGCAATTGTCAATAGATGAATTTTGCATAACAAATGTCCAAAAAACACAGTACTGTCACATCTCAACTTTTGAAGAAAAGTAACTTTAAATTTACTATGAATGAAATTGAAAGTTCATAGCATTTCTGCACATCATATTGTAGTTTTCTCATTCAAAAAAAAAGTGCTTTGAGTGCAAAAAAAGATTGCCTGATTTTTCCCCGAAACCACAAGTAATCAATAAACAAAATTACAATTAAATAAATTATAAATGTTTAAAAATTAAGTCTGCAAAACATTTGACAAGGTTACTATTTTCCATTTTCTTATATAAATATTTTGCATAACTTAATTACTTTTTGCAATTTATATCTCTACAGGATTTCACATTTTTCCATTAATAATTTCTTTTATGAGTATATTGATAAAGAACTGCATGTTTTATAGATGATTGATGTTTAACCTATGTATAATATTTTAAAACTTTGTCAAGTTTGTATACAAAACTTGTCCATTTTCATTTTTTTCTTTTCTGTTTGTTTTAAAAGTTTAAAAACAACTTCATATTTTAAAGCTTAATATATGCAATTCTATAATAAATTCTTAGTCATAACTATTTAAAATTTGTGCATATATGCCAAGTTTTAATACTAATTTACTATAATCGAGAAAAACATTCAAAAATCCGTCATTACATGGCGAGTTTTTTTGCTCAGAAATTTCTTTTCCTACAGTTCTTATGACTGCATTTTAACGTAGTTTTTATGAATAACATTTCCTAATATTCTGCCATAATGCGACATTTAAAAGGTTAACCATAGTTGTAGTCACTCCATGTCATATAAATATTTCTTTATCAGAATGAATTATTTCTGCTTCTCAATCTCCTGCCAGAAAATAAAAACTTAATATTCCAATTTCATTGTAATTTTTTCCATGAATATTTCCCATATGTTAATTTTTTTACATTGCATGATTTAAATGTGCCTCTAATTACGATTTCAATCACCCAGCATATTATCTAGACATAAAATTTGGTACACATTTCAGTACTGTATTCCTAATGTTAATGTATCTAACAAGTACATATTACTATTACTGGCAATGATAACAAATTTAGCATTAAAATGTACATACTTTTAACCCATCATTTGGATGTGTTGTCCTAATGTTAATGGGAAAAATTTGTAGCAGTATTATGATCTTGCCTATGAATCTAATAATTATCTTCAAGGGAAAATCACTTTAGGCCGCAAAAAAAGTTCATACTATATTTGCACGAATTAATGGCACTTGCTGCTTCAAAGACCATTTAAAAAATCATAGGCTGTATTAAACACCCACTAACAATTAAAAATACAGGTTTAATCTAAAGAAAATAACAACCTTAGAATTTTTTTAAAAACATCATGCTCCCACAATACCTGTGAAAAAAACCAATGCTGAGGCCGACTAGAAGTTGAAAATGTTAAAAATTCACCTATTTTCCAAACATAACAAACATTAAAGGACAATGGAAAACCACTGCTAACTGTATATTTGAAAATTTTGTGAAAGACATACAAAATTATTACTTACCAAGGCTATTTATTATCCCAAGGAGACAATAATTAAACATTGCAAGAGTTCGTAATGATTGCATTTGATATGAAATTTTTAATTTGTATCTAAAATTTATGTCAATGCTTTATACCAAGATCATTAAAATAAATCTCTCAAAATACATGGACTTAACACTTGAAAATGGCTGAAATGTCATATTTAAGCATGCAATGGCTACATTCAGATTTCTGAATTATCCATTTTTTAAAAAACAATATAAAATTTATTTGTACTTGGTTTATATTTGTAATGACAGTTTATTTATAATTTAATGCTTATATAATTGGAAATTTTAATTTTAAGTAACAGACTATTTTATACAGTAGTTCAACTAACCATATTTTACATTTTAGAATTTCAGTATTAGTATTTGTTCAAAAACAATGTGAAAAGTCTTAATTAGAAAAGTAATACAGCTATGCAGACTTTAAAATTAGACTAATACAACCTTAACACTAAGATTAAACTAAAACTATTGATTTCAAGAACGATCTGATATATTAGATTTCTCTTCTTCAGAAGTTAAAAAAAAAAAAGTTTCTTTTTATTCAAATCCGAGATTATATTTCAGTCTATTTTAAACTTGTCAAAATATGATGGGATAGTTAATAAACAAAATAAAGATACATTATTTTATTAAGAATTGCAAATAAATAAGCTTTTAAATGAACAAGGACATGAAAACTGAATGTTACGTTATTTACAGAGACATACTACACAGTATACAGTAATGATCCATTTATAAATACAACATTTTTAAAAATACATTTTAGATTAGAAATTTATATTACTAAGAAATTCAATTATGGATGTATAGTCTAAACAGTAAGGAAATACAATATCAAAATTTATATACATCGTTAAAATGAACTGCTATAAAGGCATTCCAGGTTTGTTATAAAATTGGACCCAAAACTTCATTAGAAAAATTTTAAAAACTATATTTATATTAAGATTATTTTGTCTAGGATAATTATGTGCCAGCCATATTGTGCAAAATATTTAAATTATAATATTTTAAAGACAAAATGCACTTCAATAACTAATTTAATATAGATTTTCTCCCATTGAAATGCGAAGAGAAAAAAAAAAAGTTTAATTCCATGAACTAAATTGAATATACTGAAATACACTTACAAACTCCTAAATATAATTAATTCCTCCATTCAAATTGTAAACAAATAATAAGTTAAAAAAATTAAGAATTTGCACATAAAAATCAATGATAATAATACAGACAAAATACAAATAATCTTAGTTTTTTAATATTTTCAATTCAAAAATAAAATAATAAAATTGGGGAGATCATATAGAAAGCAATAACCCTGCAAAAAAGAACATATATACAACAAAGAAAATGGAATGTTTAGTGAATTTGCAAATACCACATGAAACAAACAAATTTGCCAAAACTTTCAGTCCTTCATTTAACTTTTTCTCTATCAGTTTAAAAATGTATGTAAATGAATTGCATGAACTAGTTGACTGAAACAAGTTGCATAAAGGTTATTTTTAACAGAAAAAATTTCCACTTTTTATGCTATTTGTGCACCTTTACATGAAAAAATTTTAAAAACATTAATTGTCGGTCTAAAAATTACACTTGTTAGGCCATTTATTACTTTTCACAAATTACTAATGTAAATTTACAAAATTAAGTCTTCAAATAAAAATATTTCCAATATTTGTTATCTGTTTAATGAAATAAGAATTTAATGATACTGACCAAATAATTATCTTCAAAAGGTGATGTTCAACTCTTTGCTTTTAATTCACTTTGCAAGGTCCAAAATATGAAAAATTATCTGTCCAAATGCCCTTATTATATAACTTAAAAATTTCATACAAATAAAATACTTGATAGTTAAACACATGCAGAGATTTTTCACAAATTACAGAAAAATTACTCGTGTACTTGCATAAAATGTTGTTAATATTAGTAAAAAGCTGCTCACTTAAGATACTATGAGAACTAACTTCATTTTTGCACATCTCGGATTAGAAAAAAAAATATTTTATAAATTTGAAATGGTTACCAATATATACACAACATTATTAAATGCAATTACTTTCACAATTCAAAAAACACATACTAAACAAAAATCTAAAGTTTGGAAAGAATTCAGTCACATGGCACCACTGTCAACTGTTCAGCTACTAACCTGAACTCAACCAAACTTGAACATACGGAATCGGAATGAAAACCATTTTAGGTACAAATGTTGTTTCTGTACCGATTCAGTACATATCGTTTGCTGATTGAATATTTATCACAGCTAAGAAAAGTAACCAAAGCGTCAGTTACGAAGTCAATGCACGGAAATTTGATAGAATACTTCGGTTACAAGTCTTGGAAGTTCAGACAAAATGTGAATAAATTATTGATGGAATGTTAGGAAACGTATCATTCTGTTACATCTTCTTCGCTTTCTTCAAGCACTGGAAGGGGTAATCTATGTGCAGAAACCTTTTTTCGCCTTTGACTAGTAGGATCTTGGTCTTGAACTTCGCTGAAAGCTTTTAACCATTCTGAGATTTGTTTATCGCTGCTGCTCTCAGTTCCTCGGAAAGTGACTGACATTCCTTCGCAGGATCTGGGAGAAACTCTAAATTCGCAGTTCGGTAAAGGCTTCACAGTACAAGATTTAAGGTTCAAGCTAGCCAACGGTCTGCAGGCTGTAATTATAGCACGCACAGGGTACAAAACAGCAAAATGCTCACTCGACGTTCGATACACTCTAACAAAAACTCGCTGCGTGATGTTATTGTTAGACGATGTACTTGTTTTTCTATTAGAACTATTCACTGAACGGCTCGGTGAATTCGTTGATGTGAAATTCGAACCTCCGATGATTTCCAAGAAACCAGACATAACTTCACCAGCTTCGGCTCTAGTATCAGCCGGACTGTCACTAAAACGCAGAAGAGGCGCACAAGGCATTTTACGATAATTAATTCGCGCTATTGCGATATGATGACAACCGATTTCTCGGTCGCACGACGTTTGCTAAGCTACTACTTTGCTTCGACAACAAGACGATAGAGACTGAACTAAAACCTTCTCTTTTATTGCAACTCTTAATCTCGACTTCAACATCGTTTTCATGATGTGGCAATCCTGAACCCAGGGTTGCTGTGCTATGGTGAAATGCGCGTGCGCTTCTTTGGCGTGTTTTGGCGAGATGTTATTAAGTGACCGCCAATCACACACTGGACTCAACTAGGAAAGATCCTCTGCTCGAACTTTATGTCTGTGAAATCAGAGAAGATAATTTTCCTGAGAATTTTATTTCAAGTTAAAATAGTGCTACTAAAGTAAGTAGCACACCAAAATATGATTTATATGTCATTTATATTTTGGTCAAAATCCAAAGTTTTTTTAATAGACTTTTTGGAATTCTGTTAAGAATAATTCACTCATATGCAGAAATAAAATGAAATAACTATATTCATAGTTCGTTTCTATATTCATAATTAATTTACTTGTAATTTTTTTTTCCTCAGCAGTGAAAATGATGCATGAAAGTAAACTAGGAATTTAAGTGCTTATTCATAAATGAAAGATGACTCAACCCGTCCATGGCATCGTAGGTTTTTAAAAAGAAACTTTTATTTCCACGCTGTGACATGCTTGCACTAAACCACTTCTGGTAGGTGTAGCTCTCTCTCTTAACTTAATCATCTCTTATAACCATATTTTCCCCTCATTAAGTAAGGAAAGTGGACGCTGAGAATCCCTGAAAGGATGCTGTGCTCGAAGCCCAAGATTACCTTAATTGGAGCCTACTTCTACATGCCAAATGCAATTATAAATTATAATCAGAATTTTTTCAAATTCCATTTAGAACATACAGTAAACATGCCTTCGAGTTGCTTTGGCGTTAGAAAAATAATTTCTTTTTTTTTTTTTTTTTTTTTTCGTTACGTTACTCTACCAAATCTTCATCAAGTAATTTAATCAGGATAGTTGGCAAACTAGAAATGTCTAAAGTTTGCCTTTCCGCAACAAGTTAGACTTTTACGTTTTAAACTTTTGAAGGAGCTAACTTAGAGCAAATCCAGAAATTTAGAGGCAGTATACATACACATCAATACAGTATTAAAGTTAATAACAACTATCAATGTAAATGATGTCTGAAACCATTTATTCTCGCTTAAAAGTGAATTTGCAATTTTATTTTCAGTTAATTATGATTAAGTTGGATTTTGAATCTCATGATAAACGATATTAATATTTGTTTAACCGCTTTTTCATTCAGACTAAACAGAAAGGCAAATAATTTTCTTAAAATAAAATTGTTGTTGTAAACAGTTCAAAGATACGTTGAAATTCCGTAATTATATGCGAAAGCAGAGAACTGATTACTTGGAAAACTTATCGTTATTCTTCAAAATGAATTTTTTGTTGCTTTTTGGGATGAACAAGGGCGGAAAGGATCATTCGGCACGAAAACATTTTATGGATCTTGAATCTGACGAGTCTTTTTTTGAGAAATTCATTACAACATGCATGAAAACCTAAGTTAAAGGAAAGAAAAGAAGAAAAACATTAGAATATTTTCCTTACAATATGTTTATCTTTATTTTTCTTTCCCCGCTTTTTTAATGTCTGCTAAACGCTGTCTGATCTGTTGGGGAATCGTAGAACAGGTGCAAAATAATGCCAAGGACGAAATCTTCCTGACTGAATTTCTTTTCTCTTCTTTTTTAAAATTAAATCTGGCAAGTTTCTCCCTAGCTTTTACGCGATTTATCTCTTAACGAATTACCCACGCGGAAACTTGACTGAACTCGGTTTTAATTTTTAATTAATCCAAATGAATGTTTTCCGCAGACTATATGTACTAATGTTATGTCTTTATGGAAAAGTCACATTTCTGTAATTTGAAATATTCGATACGGCGAAAATTTTTATGAATGATCCTATAATCCACCTCCCATCCCAGCTAAATAGAAATCATATATTTCCAAACCCAAACTTGTCTGAAACCTCCTTTGCAGAATTTTTAAAATGCGAAGCAATTTTGTGTTACATGTTTTTATAAAAATTTGGCTATATTTTGAAGTAACTATATTTTCGCTTTCATGAGTATTTAAAAATCCATCTTTAAATAGGATTTTAATATAATATTGATTTTAATCTAAATATTTATTCGGTAGCAAGACGAACTGAGCCATTTGATATTTTATCTCGCATTTTAAACGACTTAACATTTTTTATCTACTTTATTTAATTAGGTATTTGTAGAGGCATTAGGTATTTTTTTGGAAGCAGGCCAGATGAAAAATGAGCAACGCCTTCGCCGGGAATCGAACCGAGGAATACGCGCCCAGCGTGCAGACCACTACACCACGAAGGCGGCTAAGAAGGCGGGAGAAATACCTTATATATTTTATTAATTATTATTATTATTATTATTTCAAGAACTAAAATACGGCTATTCAAATAAGTATCAGGAAGCAAGAAAATTTCAATCCTTTGTTGAAGAATTGCAGAGACTTTAGGTATTTTTTGGAAGCAGGAAAAGCGAGCAACAGCTTCTCCTGGAATTGAACCACGGACCTCTGCAATAAGCGCCCGGCGTGCAAACCACTACACCACGAAGGCACGCTAAGAAGGCTGGAGAAACATCTTATATACGAGTACTTCCCCTTTTTTAATGGCGACTGGAGTTTATGGGACCCAATCTAACTACCGACCTCTGGAATACGCGCCCAACGTGCAAACCACTATACACCACGAAGGCAAGGTAAGAAGGGAGAAATGCCTTATATAATAAATAATCATTCTGTAAACCTCAGTTCCTCCTTCTCATACGAAAATTACCACTGTACTAAAAATAATAATAATAATAATAATAATAATAATAATATAAAACATAAACACAAAGCTAAAAAATAGACATAGATAACTATAAAGAAATATGAACACTGCACGTCTTTAGCTTATTGAGGCAAATAAGTGTAAAAAATTTATTGGGACATCCGTGGTATAAATAAATTTTTCAATGTAACATTAATGTATGTTGATTTTCTTTAAGTTTTATGACTTTCCTTAGTGTATTTGAGATTGATTGGGGTATTCTGTGGGGGGTGCTGCCTTTTAGTTCCTATTTTTGGGAAATTATTGTCGTATGTGTTCTGTTTTTCAAAATATCCTACACATTCTGATAGGATTGAGGATGGGATTTGGGGCAAGATTTTTTATGATTGTGCGACAACAGGACATAATCTATACTCCGAAAATATGTTTAGAATCATTGTTCTATGTATTCCTTTAAAATTTAACAAGGAGCCCATTTCTGAGTCCTTTGTTTTATATTCTCTTTCAGTTGAGCGCATAAATATCTTATACAGAATGCAAATTCCAATGACCTGAGCACTCATACAAATCCAGAATATATGCCTTATTACTTCCACGTTTTGGTTGTGGGATTAAGATCTGTCAGTTCAAGCTCTCAGGACAAAGTCTTCGCTGCATTATCTACTTTCAATCGCTGTGAAAAATATTGGCGTTAGATTCATTTACAAGTATGATAGACCCAAATCGATCAATCTAAGTCATAACGAATTCTCGCCTATCTTTTCCATTCTCTCGTCTGAGGAATGGTTTTCTTCCAGATACTCAAAAAACAAAACTGTTTAAAAATTGTACTTTTTAAAAATCTTTCTCACTGTTTTGGTATTTCCAGATTTCTTACTGTTTTAGTATATTCACGTTACAAATGAACCAGGAAAAGTAACTATGCAGCCAGCATGTTCGAGCTCGGATGAATTCCCAGAATTCAGCGGTCTTTACTACTCGACCACTGGTGAGATATATCTCCTTCGAAAATAGTTGGGAATCATTTATTTATAAAAATGTTGCTCTTTAAGTTCGTACAATGTCTTTTTTAAAAAATTATGAAAATATAAAATATGTTTGCAATAAAAAGCGTCGTTCATATAAATCTATTTTACTTATTTTAAACATACTGATTTCAATTGTAGCATATAACTGAAAACTTACAATTAATTGATTTTGAAAAAAATCTCAAAAAGTGCAAGCTTCAGCAATCATAAATCTGCCATAGGTAGTTGGTATTTTGGGAGCATCTGCATCCTTTCCAAAATAAACTTTGCTGCCGTTACTTCTAAGAGGGTTTTTAAAAGTCAGATTTGTGAAACAGGCGCAATTTATATTACATGTAAGTATTTTTTTTTTGGGGGGGGTTATATCTCTAATAGATAACGTAATTCTGAGATTACCTGTGTATCTGCCAAAGAAATAAGCAAATATCCAAAACCTTGATAATCCTCAAATCTTGACTAATCCACAACCTTGATAATGCTTAAATCTTGACTAATCCCAAACCTTGATAATTCTCAAACTTATGAGAGAATTGGTCTTCTGAGAATCAGGTTTTTGAGCATTTTGAAATCAGGCACAGCGGCTAGTGGATTTTCGATAGACCTTTCCATCTCCCACAGATACTTGCCTTACGCACATTTTGTGCTGCGAAGCAAGAGTTATTCACACATATTTGATTCAACGAATTATACAGAACCTATTTTAGTTTGCTTTGTTTATGATTTGGTTACGAGAAATTTAGCACATTTGTTTTCATAAAATGTGACTTGTTTGAAAACTTATTCTGAATTGTGGTGTAAGTTATTTACATCTAGTAGTTTCCAATTAGCCGCTGCCATGATCTAAACATTTTCCGAAAAGTTGTTGACGCTATTGTCTGTCAATTATTTTCCTTTTCCCGGAATAATTTTTTATGTAAATAAACATTAGTCGGAAATGCTTTTGCAATTATTCAGTCAATTAGACAACACTTTTCTTGAATTTCGCTTTAATTGTTATGTCACATTTTCATATCATAAAAATCTAGCCATTTAATAGTTTAATTTTTAAACACACTTAATTTGTTGTATATTTTTCCTCTAGGAAACTGCTTGACGGGTGTTGTCCAATAAAGGAAAATATCCTCATTACTTTCTTTTTCGCAAAAGAATCAGTTTTATTAACAAAGTTATCTGGTTTTTATATGCCGCAAATCTTAAAAACTTACATGCTGTTTTGAAATATCCTTGCTCACGTTGAAAGTTACTCTGATTTA